CTGATTCGCATTGTATTCAGTAGCGAATGCGTTTTCCAACAAGTACACTAATATCCCCGTCTTATCAGTTCTGGATTCCCCGATTCCCGGATTCCCCGGTTCCCGGATTCCCTGTTTTAAAGATGTAGTACTGTAGTATCCTTCTTTTCAAGTGTCACGCTCGCGTTCACGTGGTGGATTTCCGCCGCATTTCAAAATCTCTTTAAGGACCAAAAACTCAATTGCGCCAATGACTAAAGCAACAATATTCTTTACCATAAAGATAGCAGTTTCGTATTTGCGCCAAATGACAGCACGTAAAACCAAGAACGGGAGGTTAATCAAGAAAATTTCCAGTTGAACGAGACACACGGACGTTTCCTCTCTAGTTTTCACGAAACCATCATCCATTAACTTATTTCGAACCAGTTCAAAAGGCGAGAGAATGAAACAAATGCAGGCAAAGACGAGAATGGATATTTCGGTTGCCATGTTCAGATCGTAATCCGCTTCGTTTTGCGCCAGAAATATTTCCAACATTTTGATGCCGTCGAAGAGGTTCAACGCGGCGAATATGGAGAACAGCAAGACGGGCTTCTGGTAGGATGGGGAAATCGTGAGTTGTAGCAAGAGGATTAGGAGTACTGGAGTCATACATAGAGTACCTACCAGCGCGTTGATACCAAGAATGTCACCTTTAGTAAGGTCGTGTGCGAATGTAGCAAAAATCATGGCAACGGTGGCGACATAAGCGACGATGTATAGTCCCCAGGTAATCCAAACGCTTCGAATAGTCGTGTCGTCGTCTGCGTACGATTTCGCGCTTTTGAAAAAGTACCAGAACGAAACGAATGCTGGTATAAACAACACAAACCACAATATATATGCATAGTGGTCCAAATGAATCACCAGAAACGAAACAAAAAGACAAACTTGCAACACGTAAAGTAGCAATAACGTCACCCTTCCAAGATTAACGAGCCATTGCGTCCGTTCAGGTGGTTCTACTGCGCGTTCTATTAGTACCATTGTACGCGAAGTTTTGCCTCAAAAACGTCGAAGAGTTTGTCTAATGTAGGTTAGTTTATGATTCAATGTTTACCAAACTAATCCTTCTTAAGGGATTTAAATACTTACATTGCATACCTACATATATTTTTCAGTTCACTCACCATCGGGACTTTTCATGATCAGTGACAGATTACATCAAGTTATGATTACTTATGTTACCTACACGCGTAAAGACGACAATCTGTTCATGGTTGATATCGACAGGATTGAACAAGGTTCCAATTGTGTTGCACCCTCAGAACAAGTTGTCAACAATGTTGTTACAGCATTGCTATACAAGGAGGCTGCTCCATTTGCTGTTCGGAGTACTCCGTATTTTCGGAACACTAATTAAATCGAACCAATAATGGTCACATGACTGTTCTGACGGTTGAGTAGTAGCAGTCAGAACAGTCACGTGACCGTTTTCAGTTCGATTCAATTAGTGTTCCGAAAAACTCCAAACATTGAAATGAAACAGCCTCAGGGTGTATGAAAAAACCTGCCCAAACACTATAATTTGCATAATTCTGCTGCTTACTAGCATTTCAATGTCTGTGCTACTTATTTTGTTCCTGGGATTTGAAAATACATTCTAATTAACCGCGTTGATGGAAATTAGAATAACACAAAGTTATAAAACAGACCTACTAGGGCGGGCGAAACGTACGTCTGTTTTCAGGCTAGCCTGTAGCCTGTAGAGTGTTTGCACTCATTTCCCAGGGACCAACTCAACAAAAGGCTTGGCGGCCATGTTGGTGTTCCAGACAAGAGAGTCTAATTAAAATTCTTTTGAATTGGAACACCAACATGGCGGCTGTGACGTCATGTGCAGACGCTCTATAGACTTGCTCCAAGTCTCGCTCGAGATTTAAGCCCCGTTTAGACTACGCTCAATTTTTGGTACCGTACCACTTTTTTGGTTCTTGGACTATCTAAATAGGTAGTCCAAGAACCAAAAAAGTGGTACGTGTACCAATTTTATCCGTGCCGTACCAAAAATTGAGCGTAGTGTAAACGGGGCTTTAGATTGGAATCAAAACTATGATTTAGTTGGACGGACGCGAAAATTAGGAAGAGCTGCCAATAATTGGACAAATCGTCTGCCAAGGAAGATAACAATTTATTATAATCATCATTACCATTATCATTAAAGTGCCTATATCATGGTTTTGGAGTTTGCATATCTCGAAAGTTTAGGGTATTTTATGACACTTTGCAATATATTTTGTTATTGAAAAATTTCATCTTGATGGATTTATTAGCTCTTAAAGTTACCGGACATGACGTCAAAAGGAGAATTGCAAATCAGTTTTCCTTTGTATCATTGCAACAAAATTCTCCTTTTGACGTCATGTCCGGTAACTTTACTGTCGTTCCAATTGAAGTGTTGCTCAAATATTGATTCATACATTACCTCGGGCTGACCAATTCATTTGATCAAGTTCCTCGAGATATTCATACACTTCCTGTGAAAGAGCCAATTCCAAGTATTTGATCATTTCTGGTCACTTCCTTTCTATTTATGATTGGTTAGTTGCACAAACAACAAAGGTGATTGGTGCATTCAAGCTATTCAACAGGAAGTTTACAATTATACTAGGAAGTGTATGAATATTTCAAGGAACTTGATGAAATGAATTGGTCAGCCCGAGGTAATGTATTGAATCAATATTTGAGCAACACTTCAATTGGAACGACAGTAAGAGCTAATAAATCCATCAAGATGAAATTTTTCAATAACAAAATATATTGCAAAGTGTCTTAAAATACCCTAAACTTTCGGGATATGCAAACTCCAAAACCATGATATAGGCACTTTAAGTACTGTTTAATAAACGATATATCTGATAAAGCACGACAACGAGTGTTTTGAATAGCTTGAAATACGACTACAAAAGAATACTAATTAGGATGAACAATTATACAAAGAATACTAATGAAGATGACTTTTATCAGATATAAAGTCACTCCATGGCTGACATGATTTGGCTGACATGATTTGCCACAAGGTTTATTATGAATTATTAATGAGTATTTTAAGTGCAGTAGAACTACACATGTACTGAAAACGCACAAGTTGCAACAAGCCTGCAACAAGATGTTACAAGTCTGTTCACAAGCTGTCGACAAGTTGTGTTCGCACTGCTTGTTCCCAGTTGTTGTAATAAGTTCGAAACAAGCTGTTAACAACTTGTAACAAGCTTGATGGCATTATCAGCCTTATTACAAGACTGTGCTAACAAGTTTGTTACAGCCATGATATAACAAGGATGTTACAAGGTTGTCAACACAAGGTCGTAACAATCCTGTTATATCAAGCATGGCACAGACTTGTTAGAACAACCTTGCAACAACTCTGATAATTTCGACAAGGTTGTTACAAGTTGTCAACAAGTTGTTCCAAACCTGTTGGCAACTTGCGACAAGCATTGCGAACACATCTTGTTGACGGCTTGCTGGCAGACTTGTTACAAGATGTGAGATTTTTACGTATGTACATAAGAATGTATTAGACATACTGCATACTGCATACATGCATAAATCATTTAAATATCTCAAATTCATGAGAATAGTTAATATAAGCGCCAGACAAAGGGAATCACAGCTCTGACCACAATTACTGGATACATGTCGTTAATTAGCATGGAATTTCGTCAACGTTAAACTTAAATTTCTCTTACTACATATTCATTTGTGATATTGTTACCCTACTGGTTCATTTGTGTATTTGAAGATGTAATGTATCAAATCCCACATCGTCTTCTAGGCTTCGCCTCAGACTAAGTATTCAACTTCATAGACATAGCCGGGACGTATTTTGGCACAGACACAAAGTATCTTTATGTTCAATATCGCTTCTAAACATTTACTGTTAAATTATTGAGCTACATTGCTAATCAGGATAGTCACATGCATACGTAAAAACATACAAGTTGTAACAAACCTCCAGCAGAGTTACAACAACTTGTCAACAGGATGTGTTCGCACTACTTGTTCCTAGCTAGCTTATTGACAAGTTGTAAACGCGACTTGTTGAGCTCAACAGACTTGTTATAAGTTGTTCCAACAACTTGTTATCGTTCTGCAATTGATCATTTGCGTAATAGACAAAATTTTGATTTAAACAAGTCTGGACAAAAATTTTATCACAGTTTGAAAGAGCATCACAAAATTAGTAATATTCCAAAGTTTCCTTGCGAAACGTTGTAAAATGCGGATAATATAGCCTTGCGAAGTTTGCAATTTTCAGTCATTTTAGATTACAAACGGAAAATTGACAGCCTCAAAGCGTATCGGGCTGTCAATTTCCCGTTTGTAATCTAAAATGACTGAAAATTGCAAACTTCGCAAGGCTATATTATCCGCATTTTACAACATTTTGCAACGAAACTTTGGAATATTACTAATTTTGTGATGCTCTTTCAAGCTGTGATGAAATTTTTGTCTACATCAAAATTTTGTCTATTACGCAAATGGTCAATTCAACAAATTGTCAACAAGTTGCGAGTGACAACCTTGTAGCAACTTGATAAAATAACAGCATTGTTACAACTTGTTGACAAGCTTGCTACAAGCCTGTTGCGAACATATCTTGTTGACAAGTTGTGAGATTTTTACGTGTTGTAGTATATCTTCATTTTCAAATATGGTGAACTCGTTCATGCACGTGGTGGATTTCCGCCACATATCAAAATCTCTTTAAGGACTAAGAACTCGATTACGCCAAAGGCTAAAGCGACAATATTCTTGACCATAAAGATAGCAGCTTCGTATTTGCGCCAAATTATGGCACGTAAAACCAAAAACGGTAGGTTAATCCCGATAATTTCCAGTTGAACGAGACCTGCGGACGTTTCCCTTCTAGCTTTCACGACACCATCAGCCATGAACTTATTTCGAACAAATCCAAAAGGCGAGAGAATGAAACAAATGCAGGCGAAGACGAGAATGGATATTTCGGTTGCCATGTTCAGATCGAAATCCGCTTCGTTTTGCGCCAGAAATATTTCCAACATTTTGATGCCGTCGAAGAGATTCAACGCGGCGAATATGGTGGACAGTAAGACAGTCTTCTGGTAGGATGGGGAAATCGTGAGTTGTAGCAAGAGGATTAGGAGTACTGGAGTTATACATAGAGTACCTACCAGCGCGTTGATACCAAGAATGTCACCTTTAGTAAGGTCGTGTGCGAATGTAGCAAAAATCATGGCAACGGTGGCGACATAAGCAACGATGTATAGTCCCCAGGTAATCCAAACGCCTCGAATATCCTTGTCGTTGTCAGCGTACACTTTCGCGCCTTTAAGGAAGTACCAGAACGAAACGAATGCCGGTATAAACAACACAAACCACGCTATATATGCATAGTGGTCCAAATGTGTCACAAGAAACGAAACAAAAAGACAAACTTGCAACACGTAAAGCAGCAATAACGTCACCCTTCCAAGATTAACAAGCCATTGCGACCTGTCTGGCGCATCTGCTGCGCCTTCTACCATCGTAATGGCAGTCTTTGCTCTGACAAACGTCGAAGAGTTTGTCTAATGTAGCTTAGCTAGTTCATATATATACATGCAATGATTCAATGTTTATCAAACTAACTTTCGTTATTAAACAATGCGCTACGGGAATCCTTTTTACAGAATTTAAATACTTAAATACACTGCATACCTACATATATTTTTCAGTTCACTCCCCAACAGGACTTTTCAGTCACCGATTACATCAAGGTACGCTTACTTACACGCGTAAAAATTGAGAAAATCAACAACTTGTTCCAGGTTGATATCGACAGGCGTGAACAATGTTGTGCGGCCCACTATGAACAGTATTGTCAACATGTTGTTACAGCATTGTTTCAACTGTGACAACTTGGAACAACATGGTTGACAACTTGTTCATAGTTGGCCGCACAACATTGTTCACGCCTGTCGATATCAACTTGCAACAACCTGTGCGTTTTTAGCCGTGTATATTACCTACACGCGCAAAAATGACAACCTGTTCCCGGTTGATATCGACAAGCTTGAACTGTTGCTGGAGTATTGTTACGACAGAACAATACTGTCGTAACAACATTGTTGACAGTTTGTTCTGCATGAGGGTGCACGGCACTTTACAACAATCGGGATATTATTTTCCTATAACTATGTTTATCCAACTTTCTCTGTGTCGACTACAAAGCACGATTGTTTACTTTTTAGTATCGAAGTAAGACCAATTTCATACGCCGCTTCATTCATGCGCCGAATTTTACTTCAACTATATTACGTATGCAAATCACAACTCTATTAATAAACTATACTTTCAGGCAGCCTGACATCTTTAATCGGCTGGCTTTGGCAAGTCTGGTCGAGCGTTTTGGGCTAGCATTTGGTTACGTATGACGTCACATGCGAAACGAAACAAGTCCCAGTCTTCTCGCATATGAAAAAAAAACCTGAAATAAAAATAGAAGACACAGGAGTCTAGGTTGAGTTTAGGATAAACATATTTTTCGAGCTTAAACTTGGTCTATAACAAATCGCATAATTATATAAGGTTTTGGTATAGTACTTAAAGATGGTGTACAGTCCGATCTGCGCATGTGCACAAAGGAGCCCTCTTTTTATTATACAAACAGTTTATTTAGGTTTTTATTTCATTTTATGTTCTTGCAAAGCTTCATTATTGTGTCTTGATAATTTATTTTACTCGAGAATCATGAAAATATAAATAGTTGTCGAATAAAATTCAATATTTTGGATACCGAAATGTAAACAAAGCCTTTGTTTTAGTAGAAGACACTGATGTGATAATAACATCAAAATTAGAACCGAACCCGAACTCTGAAATGTAGGTAGCTTGTATAGGTTGTTCACAAGTTCAACAGTTTCCGACTATGCCAAACTCGACCACACCAATTCCCAAAGATATTAAATTCTTCGCGATAAATATCGACGCTTCGTATCCACAATCAACCCACACGATAATTCGCAGGACCAGAAATGACAAGTTGGTGAATAAAATTTCCAGCAAGGTACAGCAAACAGCGTGTTCGTCATCTCTTAGTACTATTTTGCCTCTACTAACAAATTTATTCCGTGTTAAGCCGACCGAAGTAACTATAAAACTTAAACATACAAGCACAATGATCGCTATTTCAAGATTGTCGCCCAGATTAAAATCTTTCCTTTCGTTTTGCATCAGGACAATTTCTAGCATCTCGATCCCATCAAATATATTCAACGCGGCAAACACGGATAGAGAAAGTACGGACTTTCGGTGAGATCGGCTAATCGTAAGTTGTGGTACAAGGACTAATAAGGCAGGAGTTATGCATAAGACGCTTTTTAGGACGTTAGGACTAAGCCAATGTGACTGTTCCAATTTTTCGGCCACTTGTGAAAATATTAAGGCAACTGAAATCGTGAATATAAAAATGTATGTAAGCCAAATGGCCCAGACTTTGGACACCTCTTCGTCTTTTCTTGCACATCCTTTGAGGTCACATGCAACGGCAAGCACTACAAAGCCGAGTAGTAGGCACAATCCGATAGCAGTCCAATAATATAAACTGTTGCCAGTGTGCTCCAGCAAAAACTTCATAAGAACCCACGATTGTACAAAGTACATTACGGAAGCTAGGAGCCATCCAAACGGGGCTAAATCAGGTCTCTGCGACATTGTCAATGGTTGAATTATCAAACTGACAAAGGAATTCAACAAAACAAAAGCAATTCCTAGCTTCAATAGTGTCGCAATTACGGGTCGATGGTTTTGGTTTTAAAACAAAGGCAGAGCAGATTTTCGTGTTTGTCCACGTCGCTCTTGTGTGCCAGTACCCTGTGGAGTGATGCCTGAATAATCATATGACCCAATGCAAATTCCCAGGAAAGGGCAGTAAATTCCAATTATTGCATGGCAAAAGCAACTTCCGTTACCTTGTATAGCGCTCTGTATAATAGGCTGATACGCAGGGTTTCACAAGGGGTTATGTTAATCTCCCTTGGTAAATATACGAGTCGTCTTGTACTAGATCCATATATTATATTTAGATACTTTTGTTTACTACCTTTTCTAACTTTAACTACTTAAGAGGTTATTACAGAACTACATTATTATTTCGAATTTCATCTAGATTAAAGCCCCCAACAATCTGTCCCCTTTCAACCATGTGCAAGAAATTTGCTTAATCATCTGTTTTATTTCTCTTAAATAGCATTAGTGTTATAATTGTAGAGAAAATTTGAAATAAAATACCAACTTTTCTGGTAGTGTTATAATTGTAGAGAAAATTTGAAATAAAATACCAACTTTTCTGGCTCGAAAGTTGTATCTATATACATTTTGCGGTTGTCTGTTCTACCGTATTTACGTCGTAGAGCCTGAGCACAAAAGTGACCAAAGTCAAAGAGCCGCAGATATTTAACAGTTATTCTACGAACTCGAGTCAAATATGAGCTGATAGATATAAGTAAGTTATTTACAGGTGTAGCATTCATATATACAAGATAAATTAAATATTACATTGAATAAAGTTCAATCATGATGCAACTAAATCTAAACACTAATTTTACATACTGATAAAACTGTTCTGCATCACTGCATACGATCTTGGGCAAATTTCCCACACGTTCAGTATTCACAAAAGATAAATTGTATTAATTGCAAAGTTTAACAATATCTACATTCTAAAACGAAGTTCTTGTCCGGATGAAACGAGGATGAGAGTTGCCAATCACTCGACCTAGTCATAGAGATTATAAATAACACCAGCTAGAGGAGGCATCGTAATCTTAATTCAGTCGAAGAAAGGGCGGCTGGGGGGGGTGCAAAAAATTAAAATGCTAAATACTGGGAGCGAGTTTGAGCCAAAATCTCTAAATTCTTGTTTATGTCCCGTTTTGATTTTTACCCAGCATTTTTACCTCAATTTTGTCTATAACACATTTTTGAGAGCACTCCAAATAATCTGATGTCAGCAATTTTGATCTTTTCAAGAGGAATTAATCGCTTGAATTCAAAATTTGAGAATGTTTGTAGTAATGGCATGCAAAGCATATAAAACACCCAGTTTTGTGACTCTTGTATTAACGTTTTGAGGTTTCAAGGGTAACACAAGAATTGTGTGGTGTTCATCCGCGATTTCAATTTGCCCCCATGCATTACCGCGCTCCCAAATTTCACCCTCGATGCCCCCTCTAGTGTTATTTATAGTCTTTATGTTGACAACTTGTATTCTACATAGTTGGAACGCTCATCATACCTTTATTTTGTTAATCTAGAGCTTGAAATGTCCCCTGTAACAATGTGTGACTACAAACTCTCATCAACTGTCATCCTCGGAGCCTTTGTTATGAGTTCCATGACAAGTACAGCATTTACAAGCGATACAGAACTCTACCAAACCAACAACCAATGAAACTATATTCTTCGCGATGAATATGGAAGCTTCGTAACCACAGTCGGCCCATACGTAAATCCTCAGGACCAAAAACGGCACGTTGGTTAACAAAATCTCGAATAATCCAAGACAAACGGCTTTGGGGTCATCTCTTTCTTTAACAGTGTCAGTGTCTTTATCGAATCTATTCCGAGCGAGACCCAGCGAAGTGACCAGGAAACTAAAACAAGCGCAGGCGATGATCACTTTTTCAACATTCTCGTCAAGATCAAAATGTTCCCTTTCGTTTTGCATCAGGACAATTTCAAGCATTTCAATGCCGTCGAAAAGATCCAAAGCCGCGAACCCGGAAAGCATTAAGACACCTCTTCGGTAAGATGGGCTGATAACCAGTTGTAAGACCAGGACGAGCAATGCGGGAGCTATGCTTAAAGTCGCTTTAAGGAAGTTGGGTCCATATGTTTCGGACTCCTTCAGTTTGTGGGCTACTTTACCAAAAATCATCGCCACTGAGATCATGTAGAGTAGGATGTATATGAACCAGAAGCCCCAAACCAACCAAACCTGGTTGTCCGTTTCTGCGTAGCCTTTAGATAAGCATACGACAATCAAAACCGCCACGGCGAATGCGAGATAGACTCCTGCGCCGATCCAGTAAACTTTGCTCGCAGTGCTGGTATGCTGCTCCATAAATTTCATAAAAATACACGCTTGTACTATGTACATTGTGAAAGCCACTAACCAGCCACACGGGACCAAGCACTCAGATCTCTGAACCATAGTTATTGTAACTATTCAAGATTTCAAGATTATTTCACGATACTGCTATAATTAGCGTTCCAATGGGTTTAATATCTTGATTTCAAAAGTGCAAGTATTAGACCGTTAAACGGTCTTATATAGGTCTCTGTTGGGAAAGCCCCTTATAAAGGGAATACCCTCCATTCTGAAAAAAAAACACCTATTACAACATAGCTATGTCATGTGATACGCCGAGACATGTTTTGCATTATCTTGTCAAACAAATAAGGTCACAAATATTTATGATATTTATTATTTTTTATCAATGTTATTATGTATATTGTCATATGTGAGAATAAAGAAGTGAGAATAAAGAAATGAGATTTGCAAATTTAATTTTAACCACCTATTAACGAAAAAGTTATGTTATTTGAGTTGCCATTATTACGACAGAATTTCTCGAACATCTACCATGTGACAATGTGTTGCCAACGCAACGAAAGTGCATACGTTGCAGTTAAAAAGTGGAATGCAACGTCATAGTTTGTTATGTATGTAAATACATCAGCAACAATCTTGTCCTTCGTCACGTTGTGAAGTCAAGGCGGAATTGCAATTTACAGAATTGTGTATCAAGACAGCCAAATAAGAGAAGATCGATTGATTAAGTATAACAACTCCAAGAATAGCAAGATAATATGCTGAATTGCACAATTGGACAAGAAATACAAACATTCGTCAGCATATATGACGTCAGGGAGTTCCCTCACAGCGTAGATAATTAATTCACCATTGACCAAGCGATAACGTTTAACCACATTTGGGTCCAAAAGTTCAGATCGCACAAAAAAATACATATCTTTCAAAACGGGATATATTATCCTGTCTAGACCTTTAGATATCATTTAGATAAAACTCTATTTGTAATATAAATTAGTAGATACATGGCTGCTGTATATATTATATGTAGTATCTTGCCTGTTTACATTTAACCAATTTACTTCAACTTTTATGAAAGTCAGACACTATCCCACTCCTCCGTAAATAATGAAAACATCTTTATTCACTGGTCGACGCTGCCTTTTTCGGGGGGGGGGGCAATGCAAATTATCGATACCCTGTTACGAACTTCCTCTAAATCATATTCTCATCGCCTGTTGTTATTTTTCCCTTTAAATCGTATATACGAATCTTTCTTCGTTTATCTGTTTTAACAAATGTCAATTGTATACCACAAAAATAATTCCCCATGTTTTCTGAAATATCTACAATACAGCGGTATTGAAGATTTGTTTGAAAGACCTACGTTTATCCATCAGCTAGATTCACTCTTGTAATGCCAAAGAATTTTGGCATTCGGTAGTAAACGAATATCAAAAAATAAATTGGACATTTTTACCGTGTTACATCATTTCTGACTTGATCTTGTTCTATTTGAAATGGAGTCGTTCTGTGTCGCACGGCGTGAAGTACGGGCTGGCTTGCGTGGGTTTGACTCCAAGCGCACCTAGAAACAAATGATGAAATAATGTTGGTTGGTCGGTTCCATCATCCCTTCCATTACCCCACCCCCTCCTATCTATCCTCCCCTCCCTCTCACCTTCCATCCACTCCACCCCACCCCTTCCTTCCATCTTTTCCTCCAACCTCCCTCCTTCCATCCACCCTTCGTTCTTCCCTCCCTCCATCAACCCTCTCCCCTTCCGTGTCTTTCTCTCTCCCTTACATGACTTTCTTCACACAAGCATCTTATTGACCTGAGTACACTACACCAACACAGCAAATATTTGATCTTGTTCATTAAATTCGTATTCCAGACGTTTCTTCTCGAGATCTCTTTCACTTTTGTTTTCACCACGTGATGTTAAACTTTTCACAACTCTTAGCAAGGCTGGAGACTTCACTGTCTCATCTTTGCTCCTTCCTTCGATCTATCAACCCACCTCCCCCTTCCTCTCTCCCATACCTCCCTCCCCCCTTCCATCCATCCATTCACCTTCCCTCCTCCCTTGCTTCCATTTATCCTCCCACCCTTTAATTCCTCCATCCTTCCTTCTTCAACCCTTCTTTAACCCATCTCCCTCCCTCCTTTCGTCTTCCCTCCCTCCTTTCGTCTTCCCTCCCTCCATCTGACCACCCACCCACCTACACCCTCCCTTCTTTCGTCTTCCCTCCCTCCATCTATCCACCCACCCCCTCTCTCCTTTCGTCTTCCCTTCCTCCATCTGTCCACCCACCCCCTCTCTCCTTTCAT